CCGGCCCCGGGGGAAACGGGACGCTTTGCGCCAGGACCCGGCGTGCCGCAGCTCCTGCACCATTTCCGGGCCCACGGACCCTTCCGGGCAGGGGGGGGGTCACCGGCCCCCGCTCTCCTCGCCCCCACCCATTCGCCAGGCTCTGCGTCGGTCTCTCCCCTCCCCCCCCCCCCCCCCCAGCTTCTCTCCACTCCCCCTCCTCTCCTCTCCACACCCCACCCCGCCCCACCGGCTTTCCTCACCTCTTTCTCCCCGCCCCACCCCCCAGGCCTTTCGTCTCCTTTCCCTTCCCTCCGGGTTCCTTCCTTTCACCTCTCCAGCTCTCCGCTCCTGTCTCTCCACTTTTCTCTCCCCTCTCCGTTCTTACGTGGGCTTCTTCCTGAATCTGCCCTTCGCTTCCTCTCTCTTGTCTTTTCACTTTAAATTTTCTGCCTCTAGTCCTTCCATCTCCTGCCTCTGACTCATGCTATCATTATTGCTAGTCATATATGTTGAGCACCTACTGTGTGCCAGGCACTGTTCTGGGCCGTGGATACAGCAGAGAACCAGACAGCAGTCCCTGCCCTTGTGGAGGTTATATTCCAGTGTGCAAATGCAAAAAAAAAAAAAAAAAGAAGGAAAGAAAGATGCAAACGCAGGTGGTATGTGAGCCGATGAGTGCTTTGAAGAAAAATAAAGTCCGCAAAAGTGGTGGGGCGTGTGGGTGGGGAGTGAGGCTGAATTTCAACAAGGGGCAGGTAGGGAAAACTCATAGAGGTGTGCCCTGGAGCCTGGTGGGAGACCAGGCAGCAGCCACTCAGCAGGACGAAGGTGCGTGCGGAAGTGAGAGTGGCGGATGTTCAGGAACCACGAGAATGGAGTGTGCAAGGGGGAGAGAGGTAGATGAGGTGAGAGGAACAATGGGGCCAGCTCATGGGAGGCCAGAGGACGCTAAGGATTTGGCTTTTACTCTGAGTCGGATGGGAGCCAGTGGAGAGCTTGCCAGGGGGGATGCTGTGCTCTCACAGGATCATGGAAGTGTTGAGACTAGACCAGTGGTCGGCAAACTGCGGCTCGCGAGCCACATGTGACTCTTTGGCCCCTTGAGTGTGGCTCTTCCACAAAATACCGACAATGTGCGCATGGGCCACGAAGTTTCAATCGCACTGTACGTGCGCGC